CCGCTAAGGTCTTCCTGCTTCTCATTACGGACCCCAACCATGCCCATCTTGGCCATCCGAGCCTGACAAGGAAGGGTGATGGGCAGACGGACTACTTACCCGCTCCACGAGGCCATGCTTGTGCTTGAGCTTATATACTTTCAGCCTGGGCAAGAAACTCTCGGCATAGTCCTTGTCCTCCAGCCCGTGGAGCAAGATGCCGTGGAAAGCCAGCCGGCACGTGTTGGCATGAATGTCTGCATCTAGCCTTGAGCCGATCACCAGGCACAGCCGAGGACAGGTGACAGGCTTCTCAAACTCCACGAGGGCCCACTGCTGCCGAGGACAGTGGCCTCCCGTGGCCTGGCCCGTCTTCTTGTCAGCCTCACCACTGTCTGTCACCTCTGGTGCCAAATCCTTGCTTAGGTACTGCTCCTGGAAGAGGTATTCTTGAGAGAAGTCGAAGGAGTCTAGCACAGGCTCATGGTCAAAGCTATCAGGGGCAGGGCTGAAGAACATCAAGCGGCCCATCACCGTCTCATGGCCCACTGTGATGTGGAACTTGGCCTTGGTCTGCAGGGGCCCCCGGAAGTACGGGATCTTCTCCACAGAGATGAGGGCTGCATGGACAGTGTGCAGGGACTCGGGGGCACACACCAGGCCACGCTCCAGCAGCTTGGGGTCAAACTGGGTGACACAGATGCCCAGTCGGTCTCCCTGCATAGCTGACGAGACGGGCATGTGAAACATCTGCATGGACTTCACCTTCTTCACCACCTGGTGTAGCAAAAGAGAAAGCTCATGAAACAAAGAGCCTTGAGGCAAGAGGGAGGGGCTCCAGCTGGAGAAGTCCTTGTCCCAGAGCTGCCAACACTCACCTGGCACCTGGCACCTGGCATGCCAGCCTAGGGGAGCACTGGGGCGGTCTGGGGCCCGGGTCCACACAGCACACTAGTCCAGCATGTGGGGGGTAGGCACAGCAGCCAAGTCCTGTGCTACTGTAGCTCCCTCTGTCGTTTGAGTCCCCGCTCTGCCCCAGGCTCCATTCCAGCACTTTCTTGCCTTGAGCCCTCTATACAGGCTCACCACTGCATGTAGAACGCCCTCCCCCCCACCCCCCCAGGTCCTCAGCCTGCCAAGCCATGACCACCTGTCCTTGAAAACCTGGGCCAAACACCACTGCTCTGGAAAGTCTGCCCTGACCCCCAGCGGGCAGGATCTGTCCCTCTCCGGTGCTACCCCAGCCCCTCTGAGTCATACACAGACTTCTCTGCAGTCAGGGCCCACTCTGCGCCAGCCTGCCTGCTAGCCTGTGGGCTTCTCCAGGGCAGGCCACTCCTCACTCCCTGGACACACAGTCCCTGGGGGACCGCAGTGTGCCAGAGACCGTTTTAGGGGTATGAATAGAGTGAGAAACAACAACCAAACTATAAACACAACAAATGAACTAGGTCTATATAGACAGAATTAACATACAAATCTTATGTGTAAATATAACAATAATTACATATGTATATAACATAATTACATATGTACATTATATATAGCATACTATATTATACATAGCATATGGCATATAATATAGTACATGTAGTATACCATATTAAATATATATGGTATATATAATACTATACTATACTATACATATTACATATAGTACGTACGCCACATTATGTATAATATGTGTTCATATATAACATCTAGAGAAGGCCCAGGGTTGGGGAAAGGTCTGGCTTTTCGGAGCGGTGGTCAGGGAAGACTTCTGTACAGGTGATGTCTGAGCTATCACCTGATTATAAGAAGTTGTGTGAAGGTCCAGGAAAAGATAGTTCTGCACAGAGGAGCTGATGAATGTACAGGCTGGGACAGAGGTTCCGTGAGTCTGAGAAATAAACAAAGAGGCAGGAGGGCTGTAGCAGGGAGGGCAGGGAGGGCAGGGAGGACAGGGAGGGGAGGCCGGGCAGGCCGGAAGTCACCGAGGAGTTTAGGCAAAGGAGTAACCTGATCTTATCTCTGTTTGGAAACCATCACACTAACTACTACACTGGGCAGATCTCTGCACCCACAGTTTGTAAATCAGGAACAGACATAGGAAAGGCTCTAATAAACGTTCATGAAATCAATGGACATTCCTACTAAGAGCCACTGTCAGAGAGGAGATGAAATCACATTCACAGATTTCTGCTTAGTGCAGCAAAAAGATGGGTAATAGATTTCAGAAAACCTGCCATCAAAACTTGTTAAATTAAAGACACTGGCCTTTAGGTCTCAAGCATCCCCATCTACAAAGCCTGGGTATGTGGAACACTCTCTTTTTCCCTGGATAAAGGGAGAATGCTGAGCTGATACCGGGCGCAGGAGGCCAGGCCCTTTCCTGGAGAGCCATAATACTCAAGTGTTTGTTTAAAGATCATTAACTACCTAACCATGAGGTCAGGGAGCAGAGAAAGTGAGAAGTGTGGTGTCAAAAGCCACAGCCAAGATCAATCAAAGAGAAACATAAAACACCTCTAAAATGGTCTACAAGGGCGACGGGAAACTAAGATTTTCAGGAATGCATCTCAGAGTAACTGGAGAATATTATCTTACACTAAGCGTCTGCCCAGAGAGGCAGGCCCCGAATCGCAACTCTTCCCCTGAGGCCTGTGGCCGCCTGGTGAGCTGTCCTCTGGCCCCCACCCCACCCCACTCCCTTCTCCAGGCCGCCTTTCTCAAACACATGTTGGATGATGCAATTCTTTGGCACCAACCTCTACACGGGCTCCCCTGCTCTGCACCACTGCTTTCAAACCTCTTGGGCAAAGCTGTGGTGAGCAGGACGATCCTTTGGTCAACTGAAATTCTACGGGAGGATCGGCCCCCTGGCCGCCGCCCCTCCATCAGGTGAGCTGCTCAGGGTGGATAGGGGCTCCTGCACCTCCTGACGCCCTCTGTGCTGCCCCACCAAGGACTTCGGCTTGCCTGGCTTTCCCGCATGGCCTTCCCTGGAGCCTCCTGCAACACGGCCTGCCTTGGCAGCTCTCTTCCTGCCCCATATTCTTCCAGCACCTCAAGCCCCAACCAGGGCAAGCTTGAGCAATTCCCTACATACAGAACCCCATTCCCTACATACAGAACGCAGGGCCCTGTATGCCTCTGCGTTTTGCCCGTGAGGCTCCTTCTCCCCAGGACTTCCTCCACCTGAAATTCCCATTCATCCCGAAACTCTGGCTCTCAGGGTACCTCCTGGCATGGCATCCCTGCCTGCTCCAGACTGAACTGGCTACTCTCCCTGGGTTGCTCTGAACCGGATGCACTGAGCTGTCATTGCTGCCTCATGGCTCTGCCAGTCTGTGCCTCTGTGTATCTACTGACTTAAATGACAATATAGTAAATACCTGTGGCCCCATCGTGCACCCTGAGAACTACAACATTACCAGTAAGTTCCATCTCCTTCTGTGCTCCTCCCCCACCTAGCTCTCCTGCCTGCCCACCAGCTGGAGGCAACCATTCTCTTGAATTTGGTGTGTGGCATTCCTTTCTTTATATATATATGTGTGTGTACATGATTGAGCAGAGACTCACTACATATGTAGTACATATGCCTAATCAATACTTTGCTTTGTTTTCTGAGTTTTTGAACTTCGGAGTTCGTGTCCGTGCTGCCTACACCTGCAGTTCATTTGTTGCTGATGCTGTCTGGCACAAGGCACGCACCGACCCCCATTCACTCTTCTATTGGTGTGCACATGGGTCGTTTCCAGGTTTTCGCGGGAAGAGGATGCAGTGAATGCCCTCTCACACAGGAATCCTGCCTGGTGCACAGTGCTAGGAGGGGTTCTGGAAGACACAGGCCCTGTACCAGAACTGCTGGGTCAGGGGCGACTGCTCGTGTCTCCTAGATAAATAAAGTATCAATGTACACTTCCACCACAGGCTGGAGACTCTCAATGGATATAGGTCTTCTCCAACATCTGGCACAGCCAGATTTCTTCATTTTTGCCTGTCACATTTTTTTTTTTT